CGGGCAGTGGCCCTGGCGACAGAGTTGTACCCAGCAAAGCCCTGCCTTGAGCCGGAGAGACGGGGAGCAAATGTTTCTGAGACTTCGGAGACGCCGCTGCGTGCCAGGCCCGGTGCCCCCGAGGCCCAGGGCGTCCCCAGGTGAGACGGGGGTTAAAGGAGCAGTGTGTGTATTGGGCAGCCTGGGGCGGAGCCGGGGCAGCTGGAGGGAGCTCGGCTGGGCTTGGGCTGGTAGTGCAGGGTGGGGACGCTAGGCAGGGGAGCTGGACTAGTGACAGAGGGGGTGGGAGGGGACCGAGAGCTCGGATGCTTCCTCCGCCCCGGTGATTTAATCCACAAAGGCCGAGAGGGTGCTTCCCCTTCACTGCCTGCTCAGTCTGTGGTGCAGGCAGATGTATGTGCACTTTATTTTATGTTTTTGAGTCAGGGTCTTGTTATGTAGTCCAGGCTGGCGTCGAACTCACGGCGATCCTCCTGCCTCAGGCTCCTGAGTGCTGGGATGACAGGTGTGCACCACCATGCTTGGCTCAGAATTTATTCACCGAAAGAAAAAAAAGGAAAATGAAACTGTAACTAAGTTTCTGATTGGCTCGTTTCCATTCAAGGAACGCCACTCCTCTGTGGTTGTCTTCAGTCATTTTTGATGACAGGAGTTGAAATATGCTAGAGAGAGAAAGTAAACTTGCTTGAGACAGCCTTTCAACAATAACAAAGCATCAGAGTCGACGTGAGAGACAACATCAGTAGTCAGTTAAAAGTGTAAATGATTTTAATGATTGTCTTTTCCTGACTCTTGTCATAAGGTTAAACGTATGTTACCAACGTTGCTGCTCATTTGTTTACTTGAGCAGCCAGAAACCAGGTTAGGTCACTGAAGACCTAACTTCCACTAGTCTGTGTGGAACGACTACAGCCAAAAATATTTCAAAGTTGAGAGTACTAGTTTCAGTACAACCTGAAGTGGAGTCTGAAGGTGTGTGACAACTGACGGTAGCAGAAATAATGTGTGAAATAGAAAAGTCCTATATTTGGACAAAACTACCAAACTTGTGATCATAGAAGGTAGTGAAGTCTGTGGTTAGTAATTGTGCTACTTAAATCAGCAAGTACTTTATGGAAAATACTCGAATCCATCCTGTGTAAGTGGACCAGTACTGTCAGCATTGACTCTTCTGTTTGTAACTACCAATAGTTCCACAATTTTTTTTTTCCAGTAACCGTAGCTGGTATGCTGACATGGCCTGTATAATACAGCAGCAGGATAGTGATTTGGTAGTGATCAAGTAGTACTTTACATTTGGAGCTGGGGACCAAAGCTGACATTCTTAGCCAGGCGTGGTGGCGCACGCCTATAATCCCAGCACTCGGGAGGCTGAGGCAGGAGGATCGCTGTGAGTTTCAGACCAGCCTGAGCTACATAGTGAGTTCCAGGTCATTCTCAACTACTTAGTGAGACCCTGTCTCAAAAAGATAAATAATAAATAAATAAAATAAAAACGAGAATGGTCCTGGACCACTCTTTATCAAGCCCTGCAGAGCTTTGGAGATTCACTTCTGCTGCCGCGAGTCACCAGGCAAAATAGTGTTGATGCAAAACTCATTCTGTGGAAGTTGAACAGATAGGAACTAATGTTTGAATCATGACCACTGTTAGACTGCGCCATCTGCTCCCCGCCTGGTCCGGTAAATCAAGCAAGAGCCGCGTTCCTACACATAAGTTCCAGGGATGCACTTTGAGTTCGTTACAGTACGGGCAGTGTTTTGTGCAGCCCCTCCCACCCCTCATTTTCTATATCTTAGACCCATTCAGCAGCAGTTGGGGAACTTCTGCCTGATTTCCTATTGGAAGTGATTAATTTGTTAAAAGGCAACTATCAAAAGCAAGCCCCAATTTGTAAACTATAAATGGCTTTCAAGTAATGAGTACTCCAAGTTACACTCTCAGGCTTGTTGACTGATGGTTTTGGGAGGCACTTGCCGTGTGAAGACATTTTCAGAGATGAGCTGTGTGACGTTTCGTTACAAATCCACCTTAACAGATAAACGTGTGCGCTTGTATTTTTTGTTTTTGTTTTGTTTTGTTTTGGTACCAGGGATCAAACTCGGATCCTTGCATTTGCAGAGCAGACAGCAGAATCACTGAGCTAAATCCCTGGCCCTACACTTGGTGTTGATGGTGAGCTGTACCCCTTCTCCCCAAAAGAATTCTCCTTTTATTCCATTGCTAGGTTTGCATTACAGAAAAGTTGACTCAATTATTTGAGTTTCAACAATTATATATTTGTAGTTTTTTTTTCTCTTTCATAAATACTTGTCACAAAACTTAAGCATGTGCCTCTTGGGCCAGAAAATCCAAAGCATTTGTCATCTGGCCCCGTAAAGAAGAGGTTTTGAGCAGAAAAAACAAGAGAGAAGAGGATGTAGCCTGCTAGTTCAGTACCCCAAAAGGCACTTTCAGGGGAGGCGCTCCAGGGATAATCTGTGCTCAGAATCCCTGGGCCACTGGAGGGAGGCCCAGGGCAGCCCATCGGCTGGGACTGCTGCATGCTGCCCCGAGGGTGTCACTGGGAGGGCAGCTGCTGTCCAGCAGGAGGCCCGGGAGTCCCTGATCTCCATGGTCCGCCCAGAAGCCATCCTTGTTTCAAGACGATAGCTCAGCACAGGTGACGTGCGCTGTCTCCCTGAACACACACAGCGCCTGTGAGGGGGACAGCCTGCTCTTATCCCTGTTGCAAACAGGAACTGGTTGTCCTGCCTGTCCGCTCGCAGCGGGGAGGCTGGCTTTTTGTCCCACGCAGACAAATGTCAGAGGCTGCCCTTAACCTGTGAAACCTTCCTTGGTAAGGATTTAGCAAAATGAACACCTGCGTGTAGAGCATTTCTTTATTCTGAGCGCAAAATACATGTTTAGCAAATACACATTTTGGAGTCTGGCAAATGCTTTTTTTTTTCAAATTGCAGATCTGTCATATCTGGCTGTGTGTCAGTAGGTGAGTTGCTTAGCTTCTCTGAGCCTTTGTTTTCCTGAGCGCTAAAGTGTGGATAGAAACACCTACCTCAGACCATCCCTAGTGTTGGAATATTAGTCTGAAAAGCCCCAGTGAGATGATCAGAAGACGAAGGATACACTACAGCGTTTGGAGAGCAGCCCCTGCTCCCCTGTGGTGGAGGGCTCCAAACAGTCCAGTTCACCAACGACCTCACGGGTCTAGAGCATTTCCGGTAAGGTCAGAGGGAGGAGGGGGGTCACGGTGTGTGACTATAAAAGCCCTGCCTGTCCAGGCCACCACGGGCAGCCCTTCCTCCTGGGCTCCAGAGGCCGTCGCCAAGGGAGCGCAGAAGCCCCTTTCCTGGGCCTGCGGCACCCACAGGGACATGTCCCCACCCGTAGCAGACGGCCCTCCAGCTCCTCCCCAAGGCCTCTGTGGCTGTCTGGGCCCCGCCTCCACCGGGGTTATGGGGTTGTAAGAGTCAGTGCCTTGGAGTCACGACACAGGCCCAGAACTGCTCACGGAGCTCTGGAACCAAAGTCAAGGTGCAAGCCCAGCTTTGTGGGTTAAAGCCATGATCCTGCAAATGCCTGCCAGCCAGCACCCCAGCCCCGCCCAGCCTGTCTGTCTGTTGCCCCCTGGGCCCTCTGCCCACCCCTGACCTCATGGACATCCTACATACAGTTTCTCTCTCCGCTTTACACTCCCACCCCTCTCTCTATCGGGATAGAATCGAAGGTGCTGGAAAATTCATCCACGATCCGCCTCCCTCACTCCCTCTGCCCCCCCTCTGCCTCCAAGCCCTGCCTGGGGCCTCCCACCCCTGCCCCTGGCCTGACCTTCCATGCTGCTCTCCTGGTCCTCCCTGTGCCACCTTCTTTTGTGTCTAGTGGCCCCATGACTATTGTCTGGCACCTGAGTGGGCTCCGTAGCACGACCATGAGCCAGGGTCCAGTTCGCAATGACTGTCTCCCTCTTGTCTCTCCTTCCGCTGTCAACGCTACTGCTGGGTGGGCAGGAGGCGCAGGGATGGTGATGCTGGCGGGTGGGGAAATGAAGGAACAGATGGGTGGATGGGTGGATGGGTGGATGGATGGACGGGAGCACTCGAGTCCTGGAAAGGAAGACACGACGGCAGTGTGAGTTAGATCTCTTCCCGGAAGCCTTTTAGAGTTATTTTTTAAACACGTTGCTTATGGTGTAGGAAGCTGCCATGGGACTCGGGGAGGCACCTCGCTCCGGTACCTGAACAGCCATTCTCAGACTGGAGCCCCCTCTTCTGGTTTTAGTGAAACAGTCTGGAGGCCACAGCGTTTCCGTCATGGACTCTGTTTGCGGGCAGATTCTTTATGTTTTATTTGCAGGGAAAGGAAGCTCGGAGAGGGGCCGTCCTGGGGACCAGTTGTGTGGACCCGGCCTTCTGGATGGGTCACTCTCAGGAACTGGCAAGGGAGAGAGGAGAAGAGGCCACACTGGGCCCAGAGCTGGGGCCTAGATGAAGCCACGAGCAGGAACAGAGTGGCACTGACCACAGCCTGCATCCGGGAGAGGGTGGAGAACTGAGAAACAGGTGAGAATAGCATTGAGGGGATTTTGTGGTTTGGACCTAAATCTGAGTTTTTTTCTTTTAAAAATGGCCAACTTTCTTGGCTCCTTGAATGTTTAGTAAATGAATGCAGACTAGCCTAAAGGGCAAAGGCAGTCACGAGGCAACACATTTGGGCCTCGTTAGGGTCCTGGGTAACACGCTCCAAAAGGCAGGGCCTACGAAAGAGACCTGACTACCAGGCACACTGTGGAAGCTTGGGGTTTTTAAGGAAGGAAAGAAATCCACTTCAAGAAGGCTACCCTCAGTAAGTTAGATACCAACAGGTGCTGGATCCTGCTTAAAACATGAAAACTAGGAATTCCATTCACCCAGCTGTTTACCTTCTAGGTTTCTTCTGAAAGAGTTTAAGACATCGTAATACAGTGACACATGCACACCCCTGTTTACAGCAGCACAGCTCATAAGAGCTAAATCTTGGAAGCGGCCTGAATGTCCATCAACATACGAGTGGATACAGAAAATGTGGTAGTCACACGCCATGGAGTACTACTCTGCCACGAAGAAGGATTAACAAGTCATTTGTAGGAAAATGGATGCACCTTGAGATCATAATGTTAAGTAAATCAGACACTCTGCTTAATTATAACATGGTCTGTCTTATGTGAGAAACACAAAGCATAAATAAGCTAAAGAGCAGAACAAAGGATGGCTGATAGGAATCAGAGAGACAGATCTTTTGCAAATGGGAAGGGAATCTGGAGTTGGGGTGGAGGGAGAGTGTTCAGCAGTGTTATGCACATATACAGCTCCCCATGATGGATATAATTACCATGTACTATGAATATGTACTCAACATTGAAACAAACCCTCTTCAGCATTATAACTGTCAGGTTGAGAGGTGACAGCAAGAAGCCTAAAGTATCTCAGGGACATTGCTCTGATCCTTTCCACAAAGCCCATGGCCTCAGGCCCCAATGGGCTGCCTGCCACGCAGCACCTTGGCCAGGGTCAGGTGAGTCTGTGTCCCCTCTCCTCTCTTACCTGGAGCCTTAGCCCAAGATAAGGATTTGCTCCTGCATGTGGCCGGGCCTGGGGTCAGTGTGGCGCTGTGGTGACAACACAGATTCCTCGGGCTCTGTAGCTGCCTCTGCCTCATCCCTGCTCACCACAGTGTCAGTGGCCGAGCTTTTGACCTCTCCCTGCCCCCCCCCCGAGGGACAGAGGGGTGAGATGTTAAGTTTGATCACTGGTGCCAATGATTTAATGAACTGTACCCAAGGAACGAAGCCTCCGTAAAGAACCAGGATGATGAGGCTCAGAGAACTTCTGGATTGGTGAATGCACCCCAAATCCCTCAGGGACAGAAACTCCTGACCCTAGGAGCCGCCTGACTTCACTGTGTGGACTCCCTCCAACGGGCCCTTCCTTTGTATCCTCTCTAATAAACCAGTTCGTGCAGGTGAAGGGTTTTCTGAGTTCTGCAAGCATCAAACGTGAGGAGAAGGTTGCAGGAGCCCTGATTTGTTGACGGTCAGTCGAAGGACAGGAGGCCCGGGACTTGGGGTTAGCATCACGAACTGGGGAGTCCTTTGAGACTGAACCTTCCCCCATGAGTCTCATGCTAACTTCAGGTAGCCAGCATCAAGATGAAACTGAATGCAGGGGCTGGACCTGGTGGCACACGCCTATAATCTCAGCATGTGGGAGGCTGAGGCAGGAGGATTGCTGAGTTCAGGGCCAGCCTGGACTACATAGTGAGATCCTGTCTCAAAAAACAAACAAGCAGAAAAAAGAAATTGAATTGCAGGACACCTAGATGTTATCTGAATTGGTTGTCAATGTGGAAAAAAACGCATTTGAGGTCAAAAGTGTATTGTTCCTGAACCAGGCCTGTTTTGCCCAACATATAGTTTTCCAGTCACCAAGCAATGGGTTTTGCAAAAGATGAAGAACTTATTCGTGAAATATTGATTGTGTGGAGATGGGAGAAGCTTCGAACATGCCTCCTGAGGACAGGGTCTGGGGGGTTATGGGATAAAGGACCAGGGTGGGCTGGGGCCTGGGGCAGGCACTTGGGGTGAGGAAAGTGAAGTCACTGGCAGTCTGTCCACGTCGCTGAGTGTCTGACTGTCCCCAAGACCCATATTCAGAAATGGCGGCATTGTGATCCAGGGCTAGGTTTTGGCCGCGTGATGTCTGGTGTCAGCTATGGGATACCCACTTGGGTCCAAGTGGAGGGGACGGAGTTCCAAATGGCTCGAAGTGGACAAAAGCAACTTCCAGCTCCCTGAAAAACCACTTAGGTGACCAGTGTCCCATTGGGACCTATGGGTCGGTGCTGAGCCTAAGGCAAGGCTAACGGCAATGTGCTGCCTAGCAGGTGAAGGCACAATCGAACCAATAAAAGTGAGTGCATCCCAGCACTCGGGAGGCTGAGGCAGGAGGATTGCTGTGAGTTCGAGACCAGCCTGGGCTGCATAGTGAATTCCAGGTCAGTATCAACTACATAGTGAGACCCTGTCTCAAAACAAACAAACAAACAAAAAAGCAAGGGGAGCCGGAGGGTGGGCCTAGGGCGTGGTCTCCGTACCGGGTTAATGTGCTTCTTACGGCCCCTAATTCTTTCTGCCTTCAACGTTGTCTTGACTGTCTGTGCAGTGAGGCTAACCGATCTCCAACAGTGTTTATCACCACACTTGGCTCCCAGCCACTGTGGCCCCCATGTTTTGGGTGTGTCCTGTGCCAACATCGCATGGTTGGTTTCACATTTTTAGCCAGGCTCAAGACATTTTGTTTATTGACTGGTTGCTTGATTTTAAATGGAACAACAACACTGTGTGTTTCTGTTGTGTGCAACATGATGTATGCATGTTATATGTATGTTGTGCAGTGGTCAAGTCAGCTAGCTAACATGTGCATTGCCTCACAAAGTTACTATTTTTGTGGAGAGAGCATATAACATCCGCTCTTTACCCTTCTCAAGAATACAAAATATTCTTATTAACTGTAGTCACCTCACTGTATGATGGGTTTAGATCTAGAAAATCCCTGGATTCTCCTATTCTGAGGTGGGGCTTTTCGAAAGTGGTTGTGTTGTGGTTGTAGATTCATCCTCTCAGGAGCCCACAGCTAAGAGCGCTATGGGAGGCAGTCCCGGGGTGTGCTCTGGCAGTTTACCTCTCTCTGCAGTGCTTCCCTCTTCTCTCCGTTTGCTGGCTGCCATAAGGTGAGCAGCCTTCTTCCGCTACGCCTTCTGCTGTGCTATTTCTGCCTTGCAGCCGGCTGACCATGGACTGAATTCCCCCAAACCGTAATCCAAACGAAACCTTTCCCCCTTTAAATTGTGGGTGTCTAGCATTTTGTCCTATTGACAGGAAGCTGGCTGATAAACTGTAAATCGATCTTTTGAACTTATTCCTCCTGCCTAACAGTGCAGAAATTATCCTATGACTAACATCAATCAACCACTACAGCCTCTGGGAATCAACATTATTACTCTCTCTTTCTGTGAGATCAGCCTTTATTAGATTTTATATATGACAGCGATCAAATGGTATTTGTCTTTTTGTATCTGACTTATTTCACTTAATATAATGTCCTCCAGGTTCTTCCATGTTGCTATAAATGACAGGATTTTGTTCTTTTCAAGGCTGCATAGTATTCCATGGTAGTGTATATATACACATTTTCTGTATCCGTCTGTCTGTTGATGGCATTGAGATGATTCTGAATCTTGGGTATGATGAATAATGATGCAATAAATAGGGCAGTGCAGATGTCTCTTCAACATGTCAATTTCATTTCCTTTGGATATACAGTGGTACCTCAGTTCATGAACTTGATTCTTTCCACAGTTCTGGTTGTAAACCGAGTTGGATAAGAACTAAAGCAAATTCAATGTTTAGGTTCAGTGTTGACCTGATGGGGAAACTTGATTTGGTTCTCATCCAGTTTTGTTTGCAGCCAGAATTGTGGAGAGAATTGAATTTGTAAACTATGGTATCACTAAGCCCAAGAGTGAACTGTTGAATCAATGCGATAGTTCCATTTCTAATTTTTTGAGGAACCAACGTACTATTTTCCATGACTGTAGCACTGTACATTCCCACCGTCTTAGTTACTTTTCTTGCTGCTGAGACAAAATACCCAACACCCCAACTTCAAGGAGGGAAGGTTGACCGTACCTCATAGTCTGTACAGGTTTCAGTTTATAGTTAGCTGGCTCCAAGGAAAGGTGGCCTGGCAGAGGGGCATCGCAGAGGAGAAACAGCTCATGGTGGACAGCAGGCAGCAAAGCAGTGAAATAGCAAGCAACAGACAATGACCCAGCCTTCTTTCTGTCCCTCATATGCTCTCCAGACTAACACCCTTAGGGTGGGCAGCGCTCACACCCAGGGTGGGCCTTCCCATCAGCCAGGCCCAGATCCAGGCCAAACCAGACAGTGCAACAATTTAGTAATCACACCCTCCATCCCAGCATCACACACTCTAGATGCGGCCACCTCTGAAGAGCTCCACCTATGACTGCATGAGGCTTTGGGGACAGCTAGACACAAACCATCACACCTGCCAACAGTGTACCACCGTTCATTTTTTCCACCTTCTTCTCAACACGTATTATCTTCAGTCTTTTTAAGTAGTAGCCATTCTAATTGGGGTAAGATAATTTCTTATGTTGGTTTTCATTCGCATTTCCTTGACGATTAATGATGTACATTTTCTCCCCATACCTGTTCGCCATGTGCATGTCTTCTTCTAGAAATATCTGTTCAGGTCTTTGCCCATTTTTTAACTGGTGTTTTTGCTTTTGTGCTATGTAGTTATTTTAAGGCCTTTTTGTTTTAATTAGCTCTTCTACCCAAAAGAGATTTGATATAAGTACTGATATAATTAGAAGTAAATCTACTTTCTTCCCCGTCAGTGTTGGTGTTTTTATGCTACTTTCCTTCTTTTTAAAAAAATTTATTATTTAATAGCTATTAATTGATTCTCCCTATTGGTCTCGAATTTGTACAGCATTTTTTAAGTGGTTGCTATGGAGATTACAGTGTGTGACATTCATTTACTGAGATTAATGTTATTTAAGCATTTTTACCCTCTGCCTGGATGATGCAAGGACCTTAGCATATTTCAAAATGTAAACATTTCTTGGCTTACATGGTAATTGTTATCACAGTTTAATTCTGTACCTTTTCAGCCCACAACATTACTGATATTTAAATGCTTGAAGGTTAATGAGATTTTTCTAGCATTAAGATTTACCTTTTTCTTCCTCATTATTTGTTCCTGCGTATCTCAGCTCCCAATTAGGGTTACTGTGGTTTCATTCTGTTTGAAGAGCACTTTTTTAGCTTTTCCCTTTTTTGAGTGCTGATAGTGAATTATATCAATTTTTAATATTTGAAAATATACTTTACCTTTATTCTTCAATGATCTTCTAAAATTTTAAGTAATTTCCTTAATTTAAAAAAAGGAATAGGTCTGAGGATTTAGCTCAGTGGTTCCCCTGCCTGCTTTGCAAGCGTAAGGTCACAAGTTCAATCCCTGG